GTATATATATATATATATATATATATAATATATAATATATATATATAAAATATAATAATACACGTGTAATTTATATAAAGTAATTAATAAACTTCTGTATCTATATCGTTAAATTAATAATTAAAACTTTTTATATAAATTCACATGTATTTTATTTCATGACAATAATTTCAAGATTCATTAAATATTTTTGTATTATTAATTAAATAATATTAATTTTTGTAAGTATAAATGTTAATATCTATCGTTTCTAAGCATTAAGATTAAATTAATTAAAAATATATTTCATTGATGATTTCTAATGATGTCTTTTTAAATTTTCATATTTAATCAATCACTTATTAATTTGGAGGTTATGTTCATAACCTTGATTGCATGTAAACAACCATAAATAATCTTCATCTTTTTAACAAAAAATAAGATAAAATATAAATAGTATAGAAAATATAAATAATAAAAATTAATTAAAGTTAGTTTTTGTATATTTTTTATAGTCATAACTAAAAAGATATTACTATGGATGCTGATTTATATGATGAGTTTGGAAATTATATTGGTCCTGATTTGGCTTCCGATAGTGAAGATGAAAATGAATATGGAAATGCTGGAGATGAAGCAGAAGATAGAGAACGATCAGATGAAGAAATGGAAGAAGACAAAGATGAAACTAGAGAGCAATCAGATCAAGGCAACTCTATGGCAGTTGTATTACACGAAGATAAAAGATATTATCCAAGTGCTTTAGAAGTTTATGGACCAGAAGTAAATTGAATAATTATATTGCTATTGTTAATCTCATTATTAATACATTATTTAATATATTATTAATTACATTATAGGTAGAAACATTGGTACAAGAAGAAGATGCACAACCATTAGATAAACCATTGATAGCACCAACAAGAAAACCAAAGTTTCAAATAAAACAACAACAACTTCCAGAAACAACATATAGCATAGAATTTTTAGCAGATATGATGGATGCACCCCATCTCATACGTAATGTTGTTCTGCTTGGTCATCTACACCATGGCAAAACTACTTTAGTTGATTGTCTAGTAAGACAGACTCATCCCTATCTACACAGTGTTACAGATGAAAAACCTTTAAGGTACATGATAATTAATAAATGAATAATTGCAATTAATATTTTTAGTTGGAATATATATATATACATAATTATATTTTTTTAGATATACAGATACATTATTTACGGAACAACAGCGAGGAGTATCGACAAAAGCAACACCTGTAACTTTACTGCTGCAAGATGTGAAATCAAAATCTTATCTTTTAAATATATTCGATACTCCTGGTCACGTAAATTTTTCTGACGAGGCAACAGCAGCAATACGTTTATCCGATGGTGCGATATTGATCGTCGATGCTGCTGAAGGGGTTATGTTAAACACAGAACGTTTATTAAAACACGCGCTTCAGGAAAAACTTGCGTTAACAGTTTGCATAAATAAGATAGATCGACTCATTCTAGAATTAAAATTACCTCCGTTAGACGCGTATTATAAATTAAGACACATTATCGAAGAAATCAATGGACTCATAGCGCTATATTCGGATTCTGAAAATCCATCTTTTGTATCCCCTGCAATCGGAAATGTGTGTTTCGCGAGTTCAGAGTACAATGTCTGTTTTACTTTGAAATCATTCGCAGCACTTTATGCTAGAACTCATCCCACTCTTAACGCTAATGAATTTGCGAAACGGTTATGGGGAGATATATATTTTAACTCAAAAACGCGAAAATTTACAAAAAAACCACCGCATAATACCGCACAACGCAGCTTTATCGAATTTATTCTTGAACCATTATACAAAATTTTCGCCCAAGTTGTTGGCGATGTTGACACAACTTTACCTGATGGTTAGTGAAACCTTTATAGGTTAGGTTATTGAATTTTCCGTATCGTAACGTATAATTTCTGATTTAATTTCACAGTACTAGATGAATTAGGCATAAGACTAACATCGGAAGAAATGAAAATGAATATTAGGCCTCTGTTGAGGTTGGTGTGCACACGCTTTTTAGGAGATATGTGCGGATTAGTCGATATGTGTGTAGCTCACGTTCCCAGTCCTCAATCGCATGCACCGGTTAAAGTTCAACACGTATACACAGGCCCCATGGATTCACCTCTCGCGCAAAATATGATTAATTGCGATCCTAATGTTAGTATATGCGAAATATTTGAATCACGTCTATTTCACACGAGAATCTAACACGAAAATGATATTTACAGGGAAGATTAATGATTCATAGTACAAAAATGTATCCTACCGAAGATTGTACGTTATTCGTTGTCCTTGGAAGAGTAATGTCAGGTACACTCGAGGCGGGACAACGCGTTCGCGTATTAGGCGAAGCGTATTCGCGTACGGATGAAGAAGATTCTCGAGTTCTGACCGTGGGAAGATTGTGGATTAGCGAGGCACGCTATTCAATTGAATTAAACAGAGTTCCCGCAGGCAACTGGGTTCTTATCGAGGGTATAGACAGGCCAATCGTAAAAACAAGCACGATTACTGATCTCACAAATTCAGACGATTTACATATTTTCCGCCCGCTAAAATTCAATACACAGAGCGTGATTAAAATTGCTGTCGAACCTGTCAATCCATCAGAATTGCCAAAAATGTTAGATGGTCTCAGAAAAGTGAATAAAAGTTATCCTTTGTTGGGTACCAGAGTCGAAGAAAGCGGCGAACACGTCGTCTTAGGCACTGGTGAATTATATTTAGATTGCGCGATGCACGACTTGCGACGTATGTATTCGGAAATCGATATAAAAGTCGCAGATCCTGTCGTTGCTTTCGCTGAGACGGTGGTAGAAACGAGTTCTCTCAAGTGTTTCGCTGAAACACCTAATAAACGGAATAAATTGACGATGATAGCCGAGCCACTCGAGAGAGGCCTTGCGGAGGATATCGAGGCGGAACATGTTAAAATCACATGGAACAAGTAAGTGTAAAGGGCCTATATCTCGTCATTTACAAAACAAAATGTGTCCATTTTTACAGAAAACGATTAGGAGAATTCTTTCAAACGAAATATGACTGGGATTTGCTAGCTGCGCGAAGCATATGGGCATTCGGTCCAGACGCTACGGGTCCTAATATTTTAGTTGATGATACTTTGCCATCGGAAGTAGACAAAACGTTATTGAACAGTGCTCGTGATGCTATTATTCAAGGTTTTCAGTGGGGAACTCGAGAAGGCCCTCTCTGCGAGGAGCCAATTCGAAACGTGAAGTTTAAAATTTTGGATGCCGTAATTGCCCAAGAACCTCTTCATCGAGGAGGTATCTAAATACTATTGTTTTTTTCTTTTCTTTCTTCTTTTTTGTTTCACGAACAAAATTAATTTTTTCTTTTTTACAGGTGGCCAAATAATTCCAACCGCCAGAAGAGTAGCGTACTCTGCTTTCCTCATGGCAACGCCCAGGTTGATGGAGCCATATTTATTCGTCGAAGTTCAAGCGCCTGCGGATTGCGTATCGGCAGTTTATACTGTACTGGCTAAGAGAAGAGGTCACGTGACCCAAGACGCTCCCGTTCCTGGAAGTCCCTTATATACTATCAAAGCGTTCATTCCAGCAATCGATAGTTTCGGATTCGAGACCGATTTACGAACTCACACGCAAGGCCAGGCGTTCTGCCTGTCCGTATTTCATCATTGGCAAATCGTACCTGGCGATCCATTAGACAAAAGTATTACGATTCGACCACTCGAGCCACAACCAGCTACACACTTAGCTAGGGAATTTATGTTGAAGACAAGAAGACGGAAAGGGCTTTCCGAAGATGTATCTATCAATAAATTCTTCGATGATCCTATGTTACTCGAATTAGCCAGACAAGACGTTCTACTTAATTATCCATTATAAACTATTTCTAAGTAATTTCAACTTTAATATGCGAATTTATCCATACACAATAAATAATTAATTTTATATAATAATCTGTCTATTGTGTTTATTTATGCCCATCTTGTTCTATTTCCTTGCTCCTCTTTATATCCATAAAAAAATATCATATAGATGAAAAGAAATCTAATTATATTTTTTTACTTATATTTGAAAACGTTTCTTGACATTTATCAACATGCGACATGCATTTCACGATAAAAAGAAGAAACGTTAATCCTATAATTATATATGGTTATAAATAAGAGTGTTAAAGAATGTGGAATATATTGCGAAAAACCGTATTCGAAAGTAGATTGCAAATAAAAAAATCGATATTAACACCAATTCTACGTATAAAGTAAAATCATCAAATATCGAACAATTATATTATATCTACAATAAAACTTATATTTTTTTATTACTCTGATAAAACACATTCGGAAAATCAATAACTATTTAATGTTACTTAAGATACTCTTCAAATAAGGAGACATATTTCCTAGGCGTTGCTATTAAAATGCTCGTGCATTCGATTTGTTGTGTTCGATTTAAGATAAAGTTAATCATTTGATATGAATTGAATAACATAAATATCATAAGTAATAAGATAAAAAAAGGAATAGAAAATCTGAAATGTTTAGCATATGTCGAAGATGGAAATTCGAGATGGAAATATAAGTATTGGTCGGGCAGCGCGCGCAGATAATAGGCGGAGTCGCAACTGCGCATAGTCGAATGGGAGGTTAAAGTGGTCGGAGCTTGGCGCCATTTTACCTACTGTGGCCATGCCCATTCGTCCGCCCATCAGCGTCGATCGACCAAGAGAGTTGTACTGCCTTGATGGACGCAAAACCGGGTTCGTTCAGCGACTGTCTCTTTTCAAGGCGATGTCGCTAAAGCAGACTACCGCGTCGCCGCCGATCGATCAGTCGACTTCACGTACTTCTCTCTCTCTTTTCCCTCTCTGAAATCCATGCTGCTATATATGCACAATCATGTTTTTTTGACGCTTGATTTTTGTAATGAGGCCGAATCTTCAAATGAAAGTTTCTAGGCCTTATTCCAAAGAAACGAAGCCATTTTTAAACGATTAATAATCTGTTATACGGCGCTACAACGTTTTACAATTATATCATAAATGTAAAGTGAACAACTCAAAATTGTAAAACTTTTTTTACAGCGTTTTACGAAGAATAAAATTGATGGCAGGATCTATCAGTATTAAAAAGATATGACACGGATTTAAAAATTCGTGTCAAAAGACGTGCGTTAAAAATACTTAACATAAACAATTGAGATATACAAATATACAATTGAAAATACGCGAAAAAAGCGTGACTCGGATTATTTACAATAACATGTGACGTGTTAACAGAGGACACTGTTGGTGCGCAAGATATTTCTCGAATACGGTTCGGTGGCTTTCGTAGCGCGTTATCGGTAGACGGTGTGCTTGTATGCGTAACTATCGTCGTAACTAGAATAACGCCTTTACGATCGTATAGCCACGTTTGCCTTGTTTGCCAACCATGAGTGCCTCGTTTCTTTGACATACAGATCGAAGTTACGAAACTAGATGTCTCGATGAATCGTTAATCGAACACGTTTAATAAGCAACTTCGATGTCTCATATTTATTAACACGCAGTGCCAGTGTTATATTATGCTTGCGTATTTATCGCGTGTATTCGTCGATATACCAATTATTATCATAATACGAGACAGATTGCTGTTCATAATAGTTCGAAACCAGTATTTTATGCTCGATGCGCCGTGACTGCATTCAACGCATCTAATAATTAGAGCAACGTGGAAAGGGATTGTATTCGGTCCAACGAATTCCACGTACTAATTAACTATGCATAATTTGACGATGATTCCTTTTGAATTTGAAAATACAAATAATATTTAAACACTTTAACCTAACCTTGGACTAACCGTCTATTCTCATTTCGAAGCAGGTAAAGAAAGAGATTTGTTTTCGTAGAGATTAGGTAGGAACGAAAAAGAAAGGAAAATACTGGAAAAAGAACCGTTGCTTTCTCGCGTCGGTGAATAAAGGTGAAACGATCCAACGGTCGATCTAACTTCGAATCGATTAGTTCTTTTTTTACTAGCATACACCGTCGATCGATAAGGAACGAAATCGATCCTCGATTTCAATGATTCGATCAATGATGAATTTAACAATGAAACGATACAAAAGGTGAAAACAGTATAGTAGAAATAGGAGAGAGGATCGGGCAAGAAGAGGAAAGGTCGTAATCACGGAAGAGGACGAGGTCGGAACAGGAAACCGGCTGGTTCGTCGACGCTCGCCGACGCTCGGCGTCGCTCGTGCGGCTCCGTCGTAACGAGGCGGGGTTTAGGCGGGGTCGATACGAACAGAGCCCGTGTCTTCCCATCGTTTCCGTGCAGCGTCGTTCTAATCGCACCGTATCGAAAAGTGGCAGCGACTACCGCCGCAGTTCGGCGCCACCGCTGCACACACTTGCTCTCTTGTTGGCCTCCACCGCCACCGCCGCCGCCGCCGCCGCCACCACCACCACCATCACCACCACCACCACCACCTCCATCATCGCCACCGCCGCCGCCGCCACCACCACCACCAGATCCTCGATATCATCGTGCATCGTCGCACTCATTCGAGAGTCGGCCGAGTGCACCGAATCGAGTCGTGGCCAGAGAGAGCGGTTACGTTACGTCGAGTCGCGAGACGAGACCCCGTGAGTCCTCTACGGGGAGGGGGTAGCGCGGAGGGGAAGATTGAGCGAGAGACTTCGAGGGGGGAGTGTGAGAGCAAGAGAAGGAAGGAGTGATACAGGCGAGAGCGCGCGCGCGCGCCTGTCGACCCACCGGTCGATCGACAACCACGTCGTCGACGGGACAATCACGACGACGACGACAACGGTGAGGAAAATCGCGGTGCACGGGGATAGTAAAGACGAGATCGAGTTATTCCTCTCGATTAGAGCGAGAAGGAGACGAACGTAAGAAGAACGACCAAGGAAAGGAGAAAAACTTAGTAAAGGAGGAAGGGGAAAGAGACGAACGGAGAAGAGAGAGAGTGTGTGTTTGGAAGAGCGAGGGAGAGGCAAGTATCGTGAGGAAGGAAGGAAGGAAGGAAGGAAGGAAGGGAAAGGAAGAGAGAAAATCGGGTCGAAATCGTCGGACATGTGCGCGGCGCTGTGCTCGCAGGCAGCAGGGACGTGATGGTACGTAGCTCGCAGCGTGCAAGTTATCAGGATTGCTCGCGGTCACGGGTTCGTGACGACCATGGTGAGGAGTGCGACGGCGTGAGCGACGACAACGAGCGCGCTATCGCGAGAGAGAGCCTCGGGGCGCCGCACGCCGACGGACGGAGCGGCGTTGCCACCTCTCTTCGCCCGCTGCCTCGCGAGAAGCGATACGGCAACCAAGAACACCGTCGTTGCCACGTCCGCTGTTACGTTCCGCTGCCAGCCGGGACGGCAGCTCGCTGGCCACGGCGACCATCTCTCTCGCTACGCTGGTAAGCACCTACACGTAAGCCTCTCTATACCGCCCTGAAACGTGTGGTAGTCGCGTGAATCGACCGACAAGACGGTACTACACTCGGTGTATAACTCGCGATCCTCTGCCGAAGATAGGAGCGGTGCCCGCCGCGATGCTACCCGCGAGATCCTGTTGCCTGGAATAGCTACCGTGGTTCTCTCGGACCGGTACGTCGACGTTCAGCGCAAAAAACGCTCGAACCGCCGATGTTACCGTGGCAACGCTCCTATCGACGATGGCTTACCCTCGCGATTCTCGATTGTCGTTCTTTTCGTTTTTTTTTTTTCTTTCCTTCTTTCAGTTTTCCCTTTACCGCCTCGCGATTCGATTCGCTTCTTCAGCTGGTAATTTCGCCGTACGTCGTGAAACGTGATCAGAATCGTAACGATGAATTATTCGTCCAAAAATTTGGATCACGATTCTCCCGAGAATCACGTCAACGTTAAAAAAAACCGCGACGTACGCGGTGAACGAATTAGGTGGTCTCACGGGACTTGGCGCCAGACCTTTCTCAAGTTCGAACGCCGAAGCCCTTCTACTCGTCCTTTCTCTCTCTCTCTCTCTCTCTTGTTTTTCCTCTCGCACGCTCTGACTTCCCTTTTCCTCCAATTCCTCATTACTCCTGCCATTCTCGATGACTCCACTGACTCGTTTATGTCGTACATCCGGCTTTTGGACGGATCATTCGCAGAACGAAGTTTGTGAAACGCGAGCAGTTGAGTCATGTCGTTGACAACGCAGGTGGTCGAGCCTTTCCTCCTTTCTTCGAGTTCGTTAGCCATGCGCAGTGACACTTGGCCTCTGTTATTATCGCGCGGGAGATCTGTGCGCGCGAGCTCTAAAAACCTAGTTTTTCCAGGCCGACGTGGTCGCGTGACTGGTTGGTTTCACTGTCAAGTACCTTTCACGCGAGATCTTCTCGTTGCTCGTCGCACACATAAAATGCGCCATTCTATCCCCGTTCCTCGATCGAGAAATTTTCCTTAATGTCCTCGCCAGGATAACTGTTGATCCAAAGAAGGGAGGATAGCAGGAAGGGAAATTATTAAGGGAATAGGAGGGAACCGATTTTGATGATTTTTGGATGTTGCAAAAATCGATATTTTAAACAATATTTTTCCATTGCTTTTTCTTTTTCCTAAACACTTACGTACTTTGTTAAACACATGGCGGCTACTATAGCGGATGAACTAGTCTAAATACTTGCTCATGGATGATGATAGATTTAAAATGGAAATACAAAATAATCTTGAGCGATCAAAATTACAATGATACGTATTAACATAATTCTTGATATTTATCTGTTAATATTTATTTAGTGACAAAGAATCAGTGGCACGTTTATGCACGCGTCGCGAACGCGTATCTACGAGAGAAATTCTATGTAATAGCAGCGATCTTTTCTTGCAAATTGAGGCTGAGCAGCGGTAATATGCAAAATATTGTTCAAAATATTAATTTCTGCAACATTTCCAAAAACTATCAAGATGGCGAGGACCTCCCTATTTCGAATAATTATCGATTTTTTTCCATCATCATTCAAACAAATTTTCGCGAAAAGCGAACCTGCTATACCGCGCGCGAAATCAAATTTGTCCGCCCGATATTGTTTTAAATATCCATTTTATGCTCGTCAACAGAGACGAGCGTTTATATGATCGAGAATTATATTATCGAATATTGGTGAAGAGATAAGTAGAAAAAGAGAGAGATAGAGAGAAAGAAGGAGAGGAGAGAAGAGAAGAGAAAGCATCCCCTTTAAGAGATAGACCTTAAAGGCACGGCGTAACTCGTTTCTCCCCTCTTAGATTTCACGAGATATTTCATTATTCTAAATATATCGACGGCATGTACGAGTCTCGCGTAAATGGAAATCGCCGCTTCCAATGTATCCTAATGTGATTACGTGCGTGTGTTTCCCTCCCATTCCCCCTCCGTGCGCGCGACTACCTGCATTTCGGAATCCTCCAACCATTATTAGAATGCACATCGATATCGCTGTTCCCCGTATTAATGCGTACGATACGCGATTTAATTTTAGATAAGCCAAAGATCGCCGATCTCTGACTCGTTCACTGTCACGCTGGATAAATCATAACAATACGTATAAATTTTTACAAGAGATTTTACTGCGAGAAAAGTTAGGTTAGAATTTTCTTAGAACGACGCTATGAACGGAAACGTGTTGCGCAGTTAATTAAAAAAGTATTTAATCGTCTTGCTCTTTGGTCTCGTGGATTAACAATCGGATGGCACAGCTGTTTCAGAACCGAGTAGCGACATGGAGGCAAAGGAGAGGGAGAAGCCGCTGGTTAAAGACTTGAACGAACATATCGTATGTCCTCTGTGCAGAGGCTACCTCATAGATGCAACGACTCTCGTGGAATGTCTGCATTCTTGTTAGTATTTCTATCGATCAGTAGAGATTCTCGTCTCGTTATCGAGAAAAGAATTTTTCACGGATTCGATGTCGTCGATTCATTATCATTAATTTGCAATGGAAAAAAAAGGTTCAAACAAAATCAAAGTTATCTATATCGTTATATATACATATCGTTCGGTAATAACGCGTGCTGTGCCGTACCTCGAACGGCTGTATCTACTTCGCGTGCGTGAAATAGTCCATCCGTTCGTCTGCCCTTCTGGCGGGGTGCTAAATTCGAGAAGGGTGACTAACCGCCTCGCTCGTCGTTCCGCGCGTTATTTTTTTAATATAAATACTTCCGACCGATGAGAAAATTTTGAGATTTACGACGATATTTTTTTTTTTCACGAACCGATAAAATCAACGCGATGAAAGAATTTTTTGCCCAACGCTTACGTAACGTAACGTGAAACGTTAAAAGCATCGAACCGATATTCAGTTTGCAGAGGTTGTATAGTGAGACGGTTGAGCAGCGGTGCCAGAGCGTGTCCCGTATGCAATGTCGCAACGTCTCCGCCACTCTTGCCGGACGTAAAGCTGCAACGACTTGTATATCTTATGGTACCCGGCCTCTTCCGCTCGGAGCTTGAACGAAGGCGTCATTTCCGGCTGGTCAATCCACAATGCCCACCTTTGGCCTTACCCCTGGGCGCCCTAAACTTAACCTTGGACGATTTCGTCAGCCTAAGTTTATGCGAGCTCGACGAACCGGAAGGAGAGGCGGCCGTTCACGAACCGGAAAACCGTGCCGGGTTACGACATCGGACGAACGCCGATCAAACGAAACAGGAAGACACGATTCAGGTTAGAAATACTCGATACCTTAAGTGTCCGGCAGGAGTGACTGTTCGACACTTGGTGCGATTGCTTATGCTGAAGAGAGGATGGGAGGAAGCGAATTCTCACGGGACGAATGTCAATAAGATCGAGATGCTGTGCGAGAAGAGCAACGAAAATCGACGAAATGGCGCGAAGACGATGGTTTTGGATCAGTCATGGACGCTACTCGATCTCGCCTGCATATTTGGTTGGAAGAGAGTGAGTTTCTCAATTTTCTCTCTCATTTTTCATTAATCTCCTTTCTTTGTCGATCGATTTTATAATATATATATATATATATATAATGACGAGTGTTCGTTCATTTCGCGACAGCTTTTTATCATTTCCTGTTACATCGGTCACATACCTCCTGAACATCATAAACTCATGACACGTTAGATACAATAGGGAAAGCGATAACTTTTGTCGTTACAGGAAGCGCCTATGAAGCTGTTTTATCGCGTGTTACGTAAGGAGGATATTGTCTCCGTTTCGAGCGAGAACTCCTTCAACGACGAGACGACAACCAAGGATACCGCGACAATGGAAAATATTCAACGGCCACCGACACCACCTCCGAGTCCTAAGCCTATCCAACAGTGCGAGGACGAGGCCCATAAAATTTTGGAGAATAACACGGAACCGTCTCAATCGTCGTTGAAAACCAATTTGGAACGCGACAAGGAGCCGAAAGCGAAGAAACCCCGATGCAAGGTAACACCTGTAATGAGAACACCTAATCTTGTATCGATACAAGCCAACCACGCGCCGGAAAGTTCCAAGTCGAAAGAATTGGCGAAGCTGGAGCATCGCAAGCACAGGAAACGACGAAACAAACGGGTGATCGCCGAGATCACCACCACACCGCGGGAGGATTTATTGAAACTGAAGGTTCGGTTAACCCCGTGCCCACCGAGGATCACGTCGAGTAGCGGAAGTGGCCAAGCGAAAGAGAAATTATTACAGATGAGGGCCGTTAGACGGGAGAAGATCAAAACTACGACGATAAATCAACAACGATCGTCGGGCACGTTGGCTCGCGAGGAAGGAGGCGCGAGTACGAAGGAGAATATCGGAGAGGCGGAAGAGACTATAGAAGAAATAATAGACAGTATACCTGACGAGGTTGTTCGAATCGCACAAAATATAACTACCCAAGGGGAAGATGCGTCCGCAGCAGCGGAAAGGGTGGATCAAAGGAACGCATCCTCGACTGGTTGCAAACCACCGGCTAAGAAGGAAGAAGGTGAAGCAGAAGTGTTGAAAAGAACGGAACAGATCGAGTCGGAACGCCCGAAGAAAGACGAGGAAATTCTGCGACGATTGGGTCTGGTGGCCGTGAACGAAGCTGGCGACAACTTCCGGGACAAAGCGAGGCAACGCGTTCAAAATAACGGGGAAAAGATGGATAGTTTGGACAGAGAGAAGCTGGAGAAACAATTACGCGAGAGCAAAGCGAATCGAGTGAGAAGTTTGTTGGCCGAGAAACAGATGCGCGACACGTTGAAAACGATGTCGAAGACAAAGGAAGAACACCCTGCACCCTTACCGGTCAACACCCCTCCGAAAAAGAAAGGCCCGCCCCCATTGGCGCCACTGAGGGTCGCGAAACCTTCCGGTTTTGCCGCGTCGAGCGCCATTTTAGAACCGAATAACTCGAAATACGAGATCCCATTAGATCTAAGCAGCGGCGGGACCGTGCACAATAACGTGCTCGATCTGTCTGCCAATTTATCGGCCGCTAATTTCTCCTTATCTCCTTCCTCGTCTTCGTCGTCTTCTCCTTCGTCCTCCTCCTCCTCTTCGTCGTCGTCGTCGTCATCGTCGTCATCGTCGTCGTCGTCGTCGTCGTCATCGTCGTCATCTTCCTCGATCTGCTCCATGTCCTCGTTGAATCCAAGACCACCACGGCCGCCTATCACCCCGGCAAGTTTATTACGAGGAAAAGCGAAAGATCTGGATCAACGACGAGGTCAAGATTCCAATTTAATGACACTTTCTGACGCAGCTGTTTCCCTGTTAAGCGGATGCATCACCGATGAGAACTCGGTTGATTCTTTGGTGCTCAGTTCAGCTAATCTCGCCAGCAAAGTGGCCCTCCGAATACCGCAACCTCATCAAAGAATCTCCGGCTTTGGAATGAAAATCAAACCGAATCTGAGCATCCGGCACATCCCTAATCCTCAAGCTGTGGTAGCGTCGCAATACAGAAATCAAAGAGTCAGTTACTTCAATTCCGTCTCGCAACAACCACCGTAAGAAGAATTATTTTTCACTGACGAAACGCTCGATTTTCCTCTATCCTTAAACTTTGTTTCATTACTTCCTATTATTATCATTATTATTATTATTATTATTACTACTATTATTATTATTATTATTATTATTATTATTGTTGTTGTTATTACTTAAAAATGCTCCTATGGAAACAAGATTCCTACGTGACCAATCCAAAGGCTGTATGTTACCATATATATTTTCACCCGCTTCCTACAATGTTTCTTAAAACATGATGAATTTTCGTACGGGCATAAAGACGCATGGCAAAACTTAAATAATTAAAACGTTAACTTTTGAGAAAGAAGAGAGAGAGAAAAAATGATAGGAGTTAATAAAGAAAGTAGACATATTTACTTTCGAAGATTACGATAAGAAAATTTTCAAAAAAAAATCGTTCAATGCGAGATTTTTACATTGAGAAAAAAGAAAAGAAAGAGAGTATACATATTAATTACAAATTAGTAACGAGTTTTTTATCGTGTGTCTTTTTGCTCTTAAATAAGAATCAATGGCGGTATCCAGACCGTTGTTATCTAGATATATATAAGCTACGTATGTTCGTAATGCATGTATGTGTGTCTATGATCAACTATGATTAAAAAATGCAAATTAATACCTACTTAGGCCCAAGCTGACAAATTAATTTACGAAAAGTGTCGGCAATTCGACGGTTCGCTCTATTGGCAATGATAAAACGGCTGACAGAGATATATTAAACGTAGTATAACGTATGGTTAAGGGTTGTAGTGATGAGGATACCGGATGAATGATTAGAATGGAACGATGGATGGATGACGGATAAGCTTTCTTGTCCCTTCCCTTCCCCCCACATGTTGTCGCTCCTTTTTTAGAATCTTAGAGAAATATGTACTTCATAGAGATGCCAAAGAACGCCAGAGAACGTGTGCAATGTATTAGTGCAATTTAATTATCGTCTATCATATAATATAATATATTACAAGCGATTTATTGCGATATAAGTCCAATTTCGTGGCAAAGGGTGAATACTAGTCGTTATGGCTAAAAGTATGCGGCGACCTTCTAAAAAATTGGACAGCTCGAAGAGCTTTGCAAAAGAAAAAGGAAAAGAATGTTTTAACGTACGCTCGATTCGCTGACATCGAGAGGTACTGTTGAATTGGGAATTTAAATATACGTATGCATTCTCTAAAGATCGTACGTATCATATGTAAGGAAGTTTTTATTTTATAAAAGCGTAAACTCATATCGCTGTTATTGATTTAAGAATGATATAAGATTATCGTGCGATAATATATATTTAATATATTAATATATATTATCGTCGATGGAACGCTTTAAAAATATTGAGAAAGAAAAATTAATCGAGTGCGTTGGAAGCTCGTTGTGCGTGATATACGATTTTTAATGCTGTATCGGAATTTGTACAGTCGAATAGAATTGCCCCCGTATAGGACAGCAATAAAGATGAACTTGATTTGAAGGAAATTTTAAATAAAATGTTTACTAGGAAACAAAAATCCAAATCCTACTCGAACGATCAAAATAATTCGATGTTAACGCGGTATGCACGCATCGATCGAGCGTACACGTTGCGTAAAAAAAAAAATTTTTATGATATCCAATTATCGAATGAGTCAAGGTGGGTATGTAAAAAAATAAGAGTTCAAACGTTTCTAGTCGAAATATAAATCTTGAAAAATAGAGGAAAGGTGCCAATAAACGAATGGAGAAAAATGAATGATGTCAAATCGCGATAATTCGCGACGAATATAATTCAGAGATTTGAATTAATTACGTCAAATTTGCGTCAACTAGTTACATGGTTACCCATCGTCGATAATGTTTGAGAAAAGGGAACCACACGATTTTGAATAAGCTGAAAATCAAAAAAAACTGCCAGTTTAGAGGGGGAAAAAAAACGAGGGTTACATTAGAATCATTGCTCGTTAGAATTTATAATGAACTAAAAGGGACCCAGATTTTTACACGTTATTTTTCTACGACCTTTTTAAACGGCATCGCGTTACGTTCTACTATTACGATCAATCGTAATTTATCTATCGATTATCCGCCAATTACAGAATATAGTTACATTGAAAACGTAATAAAATTCGTTCGAACTGATGACTTACGAAACGATAAAGTAGCCACGAAGACTGTAAAGATTTTAATATCAAAATTGTTCCAAGAATAGATAGTTGCCATGTAACTGTACGTAAGTTGAAATATTAACCCATTGTTTGAAGCAACATTCATGTACTTCCTTATTAACAACACGACCAGTACGTACCGTATCCAAAGTTAGAATTCGAAAAGACTTGAACGCACGATGTATACCTGTATAGTAAAGGCAATATACCTGTGCACTATGACAAAGGGTCGTCAAATTTTTCCCAACTTTGAATATCTTGAGGACATTTCTTGAACCATTGTGCCCAAAATGTGACGTATCGTAAGCATAAAAAACTATGATAAAAAGAACGAAGAGTAATTAAACGTCGCAATTGCGATCAATTGATGAGATCGCATCTTGCGTGATCGAAAATTTAAACGAAAAGTTTTAAGTTAAAAAAAAAAAAAAATTAATAATTATAATACAAAAAGATGCAAATTATTTTTTATCATCGCGAAGCCTATCGTTCAACGTAGCTACGTAAAATTTTTGTTTCACAGTTTAAGATTACGATTTTTAATAATAAGCCTGATCGAGTATGCTTATGAAACCTTTTTCATAATAATTCTATGGAATAGTATGCAATTAATTACGCAATTACTATCAATATTATGCCCATACCTCAATATTAAATATACTATAACGCAGTACAGTATTTCCATAATAAACAAGTTGTGAGTTGTAATCGAACTAAAAATGTCTATAATCATTGAGAATATAATTATTAAAATATTTAAAGTTATTTCTATTTCCACGTTCAACCTTTGATTTAACGTTTTATCAAATTGTTTCGTTGTTATTAGATAGAACGGTCCTAAAATTGCCAATTTTATTAACTCAGTGCATTAACGATTTGACCGAAGATCGAATTATAAGAACGAAACGAAGAGTTAAGGAATAGAGCACTGTATACAATACGTTTTATCGAAATTAAGACAAAAAAAAAAAAAAAATGGAAAATTATTGTAGATTAAGTTGCGAAATAATTCAGGTTATAAATGCATATTATATTACCATATATCTAGTACCATTGATCGTTCGAGTATCTAATTATCCATGTCATTATCGCAAAGTTCTCTGCGTTTAAAAACGCCGCGTTACATCTTGTCGACGATTAATCGGCAATGTTTGTTATCGCTAATTAGTTAGCGTGATTATTCCTATGTTTTGTTAAAATTGTTTTTTAAGAATCATATTACAGTGTACGATCATTGCTCGTCAATAAATCGTGATATGTATAATCACAAACGAGTATATTTCGTTCTCTTTACCCCCCTATCTTATTAAATTACATAAATGCACGTACAATAACATTGAAAATACATCTTGATGTTTAAAAATTTTCATCGTGTGTCCAACGATACATCTGTTGTTATTCTAATTGCACAAATTAAAAATTATAAACAATACAGGAAATATACAAGGCAATAAAAATTTTCGTGATATAATAATCCATGATGCCTCCCATCAACCTCTACGCCATTTTTAAATTCGAGTGAAATCGAAGCAAAGTTTCGTGCAAGATTTAAAATTTACGAGGCGTGCAATAACAATTTTACGATAAATATAAATAAATACAATGTCCTAGAAACCTAGAAGAAGAAATCGAAATGGCTCGAAAGAATAGTGACAGATAGCGATAGAGTACGCTATCAAAAAAAATCGCACAATGTTTATTCGCATAATGGCGGAAATAAAATTCAGAAAGATCGATCATTTATCTAGCGAAATTCTGTTTCGATCAGGTACTAAAAACGTGCGAAAAGAAGAAAAGGAGAAGAGAATCATCGGGTACAGGCCCCTGTAAATGACCTTCGTTACCTTCGTCCCCTTCGCCCTCTTCGACCCGAGTAGGAGGTAGGGGGCGAAGGTAAAAAAGGCGAGGAGGGTACGAAGGATGCCTACCTTCGACAACCTACATTAGGTACAGGAGATGTGGAGTCAGCCTGCGGCCGCGGGCCACGGAAACTCGGCCGCTGATTGGCTACAACCTCCCCCAGGGAAGTGCGTTGCGAGCGTCGGAAGTGAAGAGGGGTGAGCTTACCTAAAGCGAGACGTTTATACACGAGGCGGAAGGTTCGCTCCCGAAGAGGATCGTGCCTCTGTGCCTCGACCACGTTCCCTCTCTGTCCCAACGCATCGTGTACAATCGACCGCCACGGTAACCATTCCCTTCTCTCTCTAATAATCCGTTTCTCTCCCTCTCTCCCTGATACTCTTCCGATTTCGGTCTCCCTCTTTTCTTCCCGCACCCCGTTGCCCCAGTCGGTACGCACTAATGCCGCCACCTCTTCGATCCCTCCACAATCTCCCGTTCCGACGCGGCCTGCCCTTGTCGTCCTCCATCCCACCGTGCTATCCTTTTACTGGCTTCTGTTTACGCACGTACACGTTTACACCGCAGGCACGAGGAAGAGGAGACGCGTAGGACGAAAAGAGACAGAGACGGAAATATCTGGCGAAGGGTGGATGGAAGGAGGCGGGTAAGAGAAAGAGGGAGAAAGGGAAAAGAAGGGGAAGATAGATAAAGCAAAAGGGGAAAAAAGAGAAGGAGGAAAGGACGAGAGAGACGATAAATCGTACGTGAATAAAGGGAGAGAAGGATGGCGGTACAGGTAGAGAAGGATGGACAAGGAGGGAGAGCGAGAGTGGAAAGGGAAGGGTGGGATAGAGAAAGAGGAGGGTATTGAAAAAGAGAGAAAAGGTACGCGTACATACATGAACTTACACACATAAAAGGGACGCAAGTGCATGTCGTGTCATCGGCTACGAGGGATACGCACACACTCATCCGCACCCTCCTGCTGCCGAATGTAGTAGAGAATGAATAATGTACCCACGTACAGCCGATGTCAGGAGGGGCTCCAGGGAATGTAAGCATCGGCCCGTCCCCTCCGAAGGCTTTGTAGGCCGTTTATCGAAACGGCGTGGCCGTCTGCGACAGGATTGCACGTAGGCGATCGTAGGATGCCGCCGTTCTGGCTGGCACCTACCACAAACTTAAATCTAACTTATTAATGCATTAATAAAACTTCCTAATGATCAATTTGATTTGACCTCCGTCGCGACTATTAGTAGGACGTTTCTAGGATCGGTAATCATCCGATGATTGTTCCGTCAAAAATCGCCATTACTCAAAAACCTCCAACGATTTTTCGCCGCTACGATTTGCCAACGATGAAATAATGGTAGATATTTAAAGTATAAACGGTTTCGTTTTCGTACGTAGAAGGGGCAATCTGAATTCAATGAATTACTTCGAAATGCTTTACGAGGGAGTGGCACAACCTTAATGACTCGTCTTCGATCGCTACACGCAAATAGGTGGAGTAGCAGGAGGCAAGCAACGGAGAATCGGCCTCACGCGGCTCCACAAAACACGTGGAAGGTTTCCCAAAAGCGTATATCGACCGATAACGCGGCGCAGACTCACTGGAGATCCTGCACGTATACCAATATATCCTCCGACCGAATGTTCGGTTCGGGCCGCCCACGTATCACCTACAGGTTCTATACACCAAGAAGGGAACGATTCGCGGAACGGTGGACAAAGAACGAGCCGAGGAAACGGAGAAAGGACTAAAGGAAGAGATAGCTGCGGAGCCCATCTAGCGGCGTCTCATTCGCTCGTGATTCCAGCCGCGTTCCACAGCTAAACGACCGACCATCCGTCCAAGCCCTCCTGGTGGGGATAGCCCTCCAAGGGATCCTTCCAGAGAAAGCTTCGGGAGGAAGCCTACGGTCGGTGTTTTCAAGCGATGTATGCTAGAGGGGAGATCTGCAGGGCTCGAGGGTTCGAGGGGAAGGGAACGTACACGCACCATGCGAATATTTTTGTCGGCATCCTCCAACTGTTCGGGAACCGGTAGAAGGGGGAACGGTTCTTAAAGTACACCCAGGGAGTGTCAGGATTGGAAGGTCGATTACCGTGGTGGGAGTATGCTGTTAGTTGCCTCATAGCTGACTGGTGTAATTAAAAACGCCCGTAATTAATATTTCTCAATCGAGATTCGTCATCGGTTTTCCGTCTTTCGCCCAAATTCAATTCACCTTGCAAATTTCTCGAATCTCCGCTTCTTACGAATTTAAACATTGGTGGACGTACTTATTCAGTTCACAATTTTTTCATCTATAACTAAGATTTTATAAGCGACCTGATGTAACTGCATCGTGCAAGAACGCAAATTACATTCGTTATACATCGGAGAAATTAATTGTCACGGCATATTCAATAACCCAACAAAGACTCTGCTATTGTAATACGTTTCAAACTTTCGAAACGATTGGTTCTCCTGCTTGCAACTTATTAAACAGGCTTATCGACTGGCTGTAATGTATTACCGCCATTTTGGTTCCCATTCGGATTAACTGCCCGAATTCTCGAATCTTACTGTACTCATTGTATAAGATTAATCGTTAACTCGTGTTCTTTATTAAATATTCAACTACGTTATTTATTGTAACTAAGCCTTGATAATTCGTTCGATATTCAAACATCTGGCATCTCTCGGTTCCGACATCATCGTCGACTTTCAGCCGACAGAATTGCGTTGCTCTGGAAACGCAATTTCCAATGCCGATTCCATTAGATTTCTAATAATAATCTTGAGAATCGGGAGCTTTACGTGTCTCCGGTCAGAGGAAAGCGTTGGCGGATTGAAAGATTATTCGACAGCGCAAGCGCGCCGTACGTGCAAATAGCGAG